CCCCAAAACCCCAAAACCCCAAAACCCCATGTGATATGTTTTTAGAAATATTTGAGAGAGGCTTTAATTCAATTCTTAATAATTAATTTCAATAATTTAAAAGTATTAGTAGCGCAATGGCTGGCAAAACGAATCCCTTTGACACCTGCATTTATGTTAGAGTAAAGCGTCATCAGCAGACCTTCTTCGTCTTGTGCGATGAATTTGAAGAAGTAGCTGCCTTTAAAGGTAGAATCCTAGATATGTTTACTCAGACTAATGCTGTTAAGCTGAGTGATGATTTCTCAGTTGATGACATTAAACTATTCATCAGAAACAGAGTAAGTTACGATTATATCTTATTCATTATTCTGTTTCGTTGATTGGATCTTAATATATAATTGGATGGAGATTAATGAAGATTTGTATAGATTTTAGAGAATTCAGCTACATGCCATGATCAGCAGTTGTTTAATGATTCTGTCGTGTATATATGTTTGAAAAAACCAAATACTAAGGACGAATTCGAAGACTTAGCGGATGTTAGTGGACAATAATTTGAATATGAATACCCACCAAAGAAGAAGGAGGAGCCAGTTGCCCAATCTGAGGATAATTGATGTGATATTTAACAAATAATATGTAATTTATATCTGATGAGATTTACTTCAAACACTCTAGTCTCTATTCTTAATATATATTTATGGAATTTAAGCTACCAATAACTTATTACTCAATTTATACCAACTATATCACAAAGTAAAGTAATCATTCAGATTTTCATTTCCATTCATCATCATTATTTCTCAAAAAGTTGAATATGCCGGATCTTGATATGGATTCAGCCTATTGTTTGCCCGAGATGAAGCATTAGTCATTCTTTCCTTCAAGGGATACCAGATATATCCTAATAGATGAAGAATATAGTCCATTAGTTTTTTGAACCCATGATAGAGATACTAAGCAATCAAGTTAAGTTGAATATTTAAAGTGTACATAAAATATTAGATAAAAGCCATAGAAAAAGTTCTTGCAATACTATCCAAATGAGTCCATTTAAAAATTAACAACTTAATTAATTTTTATTCTCTACTTATGCCTGCTTGAACTTGGAAATAACTTAATTCAGCGCATTCTACTCGTTGTATGGGGTTTTGGGGTTTTGGGG